ATTATTAAAGACTGTAGTATTAATAAGCTCTGACATTACCGGTTCTTTTAATGGTTACACACACACACACGGAGCAAAGTCAGCAAACAGCAGAGTGGCTGCGGTGAAGACAGTAAAGTGAAGATAACTCAAAAAGATTACTCAGGGTAATGACAACTATGCTACTTTACCGTACGTTCAAAACAAAACAACAAAACAAAAGATAACCATCCTGAAACAAACTAAATTCCCACTAGGGAGCAACCCATCAGCAATCCCAACACTTTTCAAAAAAAGACCGTTCATAAGTACAAGAAATAAGCAATCAAACACTTAGTACCAATGCTGTGTCGCTTAGCTCAGTGATGACTACTGACCTGACTGCAGTGTTGGGCAGTAGCGTCACTACAAGTAGCGCTGTTACTAGTTTAAGTACAATTCTCAGTAGCCTGATGGTAGAGTCGCTGTTTTCAAATAGCTTTTCAGTGGCAAAGCACTATTATTAATCACAAGCTACATTTTACCAAGCATTTCTTAAGCTCAAGCTTAAGTCTGAAATGTATCTGCTAAGGATCAGTAAGTGACGCCACCGCCATACTCGGACCTGTGTGTGTAACCGACAGAAGCACTACCATATGACGGTGACCTCACATATCAATCCCTGGACTGATGCTCTCCATGATGATACTGACTGAAACAACACAGAAAAAATATGTTTTCAGGAGCTTACTGTGCATGCCCCCAAAAGAAGCTACTCTCAAGTTCCAAGACATCAAATACAAATTTGAGAACACATCAGGGGCTTCCTGAATAAGTTAACACAACCATTGCCAACCATGCTAATCATCACAATTCAGCACAGTCTGCAAACACCAGCCAGCAACTTGTCAACAGCTAACCACTAGCTACCCATGCAAACACAGGTGAGTAAGCCCACACATACAAAGATGAACATAAACACAGTCTGGACAGCTGGTTTTGTTATTATGTGGAGCACATGTTTTTTGTTTGTTTGTTTTTGTTGCCAAATCGGTTTTGGAACACAAAGTAGAGAGCACAGTTTAACAATTGCACTGAACAATTTTGCCTGCCTATCTGTTTGACAGTTTTAGTGATCACTGACATAGCACTGATTTTGAATATCTAAAAAATTGGCTTAGATGTAGGAAACCACTTTTCCATGTTGCTGTAGCTTAGCTTGCTACATTTCCCTGGGGGTAGCTTCAGTGTAGTGAAGATTCTTTTAAGGTAGAGTAACTGGTAGCTTAGCTCACTTCATTTCCCAAGTAGGTTGCCCGACACTGCCTGACTGTCCCTTCAACCATGTTTACAAACAAAATTTCAAATGTCCAAAAAAAGTACTACACTGATACTCACTGGTGGAAAAAATCCACATCCTGGCTGCCTTAATATTTAGTTTTACCCAAATGTTTTTGATGATTTTACATAACAGTCAACTCTAGAGGAAGCAGAAGCATTTTTGCTCAGTTGCAGGAAAATAGCTATAACAGAAGTGGGTGTTGTTTGGGGGTTGCTACTAAATTGCCTATGTTGTTCTGTGAAAACCATTGTAAACCAGTATAACTATGTTGCACGTTATATTTCATAGCCGTTAGCCATTCTGTGGCCCATCTCGTGGCCCTCTCTTCATCAAAGCTCAAGCATGTCAATGAACATGATGCTTCTGTTCTGCTATTTGAGATCGAGTCAGCTATGCCTTGACATATGAGTGGGCCCTGCGCCTGTAGTGAGAATAGGGCTGACAGAGCAGAGGGAAAAGTAGGCACTGTAAAGGATGATTTAACATGAGCGGAGAGCTGGAATTGGCAACGTACGAGTAAAGTTCACTGTTGCAACTACAAATCGGCAGGGAAATGAATATGTGAAATGGCTCCTGTGAGTGGGAGTAAGTGGGAGGTAGAGAGACAAAGACATTTAGATTCAGACAAGAAATATTTGGGACAAGTGAATCAAACAGGACATACAATAGCAAAGTGGGGTGAACCTGGGAAACAAAAAAAGGATTTTAACTGATAGCCAATCATCCTTTTAAAACATTCTGCAGGGATGAGATCGTGTTTTCATGGTAAGAAACTGTGTTTGGCAAGGGGAGACATGGCACACGGCATGTTGTCCAGCTTTTCAAAGTGCTCTTTTCCCCTCTACCTTCTCATCTGGCCATTCTTTGCACAGGCGCCTAAAAGAACAGTCTTTACTTGGCTGGCAGCAATGACAGGTTCTTTTCTGTCTTTCTCCTTTTTAAACTCTCCAAGACCTGAGAAGATGGAATAGGAGATTGTAGAGAAAAACCTCTTGAGTGCCAGAGTTTTGAGAGAACTTTAAAAGGGGAGTAGTTCAGATGATCCCAATGCTTTTGCACAAACAGAATTTCAATCACAGCTGAGGTTGTGTGCCTGCCCTGTATCAATGAATATACTGACGGCCACTTAAACCATTTCTTGTAGTGACGCCACATGGGAGGCAACCAGCTTTCACTCTTGTACAAAAACAATGCTTATTTGAATCATTGCCAGAATAGTTAAAGGCTTGGTCAAAATCCAAATATGCATAATTTGATCCCATCATCCCTCAGAATAAAAAACAAACACTGCAATGTATCCTTGAAACTTAATATATGGCCTTGAATTTTCTTTATCCAGTATATTGGCAGAGATTCACATTAATGTTTAATGGCTCTTTTGAGGTTTAAACTCCAAAGCAGTCAGATGGCTATTTGGTGGTATACACAGTTATCATTGCCTTAAATGCGCATAGTCAATATAATAAACCAGGCCAAGTTCCAGCGTGGAGAGACTGAGTAAAGAAAAGAAAATCCTTTGAAGAAATTATAACCCATCGCAAAATGTTTGAAGATACTGAGAGAACATAACAAGGATAAGTTTGGGTGTCTTAGTCATGAAATTATGAACATTTACCCCATCTTTTCAGTAGCCTACTTTTCCCTAAATATATCTTTTCTAATAAGATGCACAGGGTTAACTGGGTCCACTGAAATGTATTAATGTTTCACTGCTAATGATTGTGTAGGCTGATCTCCAAGTCTGATATGGAACCATGAAGTTACTTTTTGACTGTTGACTGTCTCATCTTCTCATGAGTTAATGGAAAGAAAAGGTGTGACTACTGATAGACTGCCAAAGAACAGTCTGTCCTATGTTTACTAGGGCTGTAACGGTTCTGAAACAAAGGACGAAGTCAGATCCGAGACAGTTTTTAAGTTAGTGCAAGCTGTATAGTATTACACCTTCGACCAACTTTATTGTCTTCCAGCTGTGTGTCACGTGACTATTTTTGTCAAGCCATGATTGAATGATCACTCCTGCAACTTCGACTACATTAATTAACCCAAAATATAGTAATAATAATAATAATATTTGATAATAATAATGCCCCCCCTCAAAAAAAATTAAAAAATCAAAGGTCTGAACAGAACCGTTAATTTGTTGTATCATCACACCCATAGTTCAAATTACGGGGAAGATTTGGGGAGTCTGACCCCCCCTAGTTAAGCCCTGGACCCCCCCCCCAAAAGAGGCAAAACCAGCAGTTCAAGGTTGTCTTTCTTACCTGTATTTGTAAATATTACAATATATTTCCCGTACTCATGCCTTTATATTCAAGAATCTTGAAATACTATTTCAGACACTCCTAAAATGGACCGTACTATTTCCTAACATCGACGTTAGTTGAACGCCTTGTCTGTCTGCATCCAGTCCGGTGCATCACACGCTAATGGAGATGCTGCAGGTTAAGGTCAGTAGTTTACTATCCAGCTGCTTTAATACACTTATCTTTCCTACCTTCAGAGATTCGCAATTAGCATTTCTTTTACTTAAAATGAGCTGATGTTAGCTAGCTGAGAGCCCACACTATGATTTCATTATAACTATGCAATTGTCAGCTAACACTGGTGTTTAGGCACGAGCAGTGAAATTGGGGATTAGTTATTGTAGAGATACATTTTTACATCAATATAGAGTTTATTATTTCATTTGAAGTATTTTGTCCTTTCACAATAAACATGGCATTTGTTTTAACTCTGGAATTCCCATTTGAAAAGGCACCTCTCTCTCTCAGACCAAATCACTTGATGAATGGAAGTATGTAATTGGATGCAATCACTCCACCCCCTCCCTTTCCTCTCTTGCATTCTAATGAGCTCTTAATGGGTCCTTGATTAGAAAAGGGCACAATAAACAGCTGTCAAGGCTGGCCAGGAAATGATGGATCATCCAGGAGACTTTGGTGTCCATTAAGCTCTATTCTGGGCTCAGTCACTAGTAGGTGAGAAGATGAAAAGAAAGTTTCATTATATTTAGTTTCCACCAAGTCAGTTCTCTGAGGAACAATGATTGCTTCAGTCTCAGAAACTGACAGATGGCTGTTGAAAACCAAGAAGAGAGTCCAGCCTGAGCATGCCAATATTGTGTAGATACCTCACATTTTCTTTCTAAACCAAAAGTGTATTTTCACTTTTATCATTATATACACAGTATAATGATGTATGGACATCTCAGTATAAGATCTCCATGGCTACTGTGTTATTTGCCCATAAGGGAGGTAAGGGAGATGTCAAAATAATAAAGTGATGCTAAGAGAAACTCAATTGTCAGAGGATATGCTTAACAGAAATGTCAGATCCATTAAAACATATTTATAATTTATCAAAAAGATTGTGATATTATGATTGCTTGTCAAAAACATGAAAAAGAACCCCACATCAAAGAAAGTCATACTATATCTACAATATTAAAATGTCTGATTTCCCTTCACATCCTGGCCTCTGGCTCATGTTATACCAGATTTACTGTAAACGTGAGCTGCAAACTCACAGGGGGAAAACATTAACAATAAACTCAGAGTCATTTTAACAAAAGGATGTGTAGGGATTTACTGTGCTACAAGATCACACTTTAAATCACACTTGCACTCACCAAACACAATTCGGGCAAGCCCAGAGATGTTCAGCAGTTCAAGGAAATACAAATCTAAATTGGCAGTTACAGTAAGAGCAATACTTTATTCAAAGCTGCACAAGTTATTTTTTGGTTGATGTTTCTGATCCTTGCATAAAATATTTCAGATGTAGGCATGCCAACAAGTTATACATGTCAATCCCTCCAAGTTGTTAAACCATCCTCCAATTCTTTCACGTGTTTCTTGCAAAGGGCCCCGGATGAATACATCTGGGATACCACAGTGTGTTGTCTCCACAGCGACTCATCCATTACAGGCTTTGATATCCTCTGCATCTGTGAGGTGCAGATAAATGCAAGAACATCCAACAGGGAATACATGTTTGTCACATTGGCTCTGGTTTTTATTCATAAGTTATGCAAGTAAAGGCACAGAGCAAGCATGAATTGTGAATTAGCATTAATGATTAATAAAACATGATAAGTCATTCTGAGTGTGCTGAAAATATTTATTCACTGTTGGCTTGCCATTTATGTTTCACCTGGCACAAGTACAAACTCATTATATATTTTGTGCCTCAGGTGCTCTGGGGAAGTGCACCCAAATTGAATTGCATTAGAGATCTAAAGTAATCAGGCACTAAACAGACTGTACAGGTTAAATTTTCAGGCCTGGCACTACTTCTAAGTAAAAATATTAAAAAGGTTCTATTGTCTCAGAGCTTTGAAGAAAACACAGGAGCACCCCACTTTCAAATATAAGCACTGTAAGAAATAGAAGACAACACTGACATGTTTCTGGTAGAGCAGGAAGCTGAGGAGCCTTCCGAAAGAAGAGGAACTAATAAAAGGTGGACCTCAGCTGCTTTGTTCCAGTAGTTATTCTTAGTCTGACAGTCACTGCTGATGTATGATGAGAAGTGAAGGCCTGGCAACAGTAGCTGGTATTGTGTAGTGATATTCCAGAGGCAGGTGTGCCCCCTAAACGCTTATAAATAACCCCCATCCTTCCATCCAATGCTGTGGGCTTGAGTGATGCCTTCTTTCCTCAATGCCCCTGTGTGCTTTTCATCCCCATCAGTCATCACCACTGGACACACAAATACACACACACAAAACCAAACAAACATGACAACACAAGATAAGTACAAATTAAAAAAAAACAAACAAAAAAAAAACAAGTGGGCATCCTTCAAGTAATAAGAAATATTATATCCTATGGAGGAGCATTACAGGAAATATAGGAGAAATGATAGAGCAGTGAAAGGACGAGATACAGAAATAGAAGTAGAATGGAAGGTGGAGTATAACAGGAGATTTACATGGGAGTCTCAGGTGTTGTCTCCATCATTATTAACCTCTTGCTTTTTTAAAAAACAAAGTCCAATGTCAGACTGAGCCAAATAGTTAGACTCCCACTCTCAAACTATCTCTAGTTAACAGCTGCTCCTTTCCCCTTTCTCCTTTTGTGTCAGCATCTTCCATCTCTGTCCATAGTCCTCATCCTCCTGTGACTTCCTGTTTGTCATTTCCCAGCCTTTAATTTTGTATTATTTTACCCAGGTGGGATAGAGCAGAGAGGGCTGAAATAAATATAGATTTCTTTAAGTGACAGTTATTCAGCAGACATTTATAGTTCCACCACAGCCAGTTGTTCTCCTGAGGCTGTTCCAGCTGTTCCTTTCAGCTGCTCAGGTCATTTTGGGCCAACCTCTTTTATTGTCCAGGGAGCTATTGGTCATCCCTTAGTCACTTGTACCGCCGCCTGCAGATCGATCTGGCTCATGACAAGGATCTGTATCTATGTGTGTGTTTTGCGGTGTCCTTTTAGGAGTGTAGTGTATAAGGGAGGTGTCATTGGTCTATATTTACCAACTTAAGAATGAGAGAGCATTGTGTTGTCCACATTCTTGGCACTGAAGGACACTACGCATTCAGGGTCACCCTCAGCGCTTTATCAAGAGAGACAGAGGAGAGAGAGGGAGGTAGACGCAGACAGATAGTAGGAGGTGATACTGAGAGGACAAGTACTAAACAAGATCTTCAAGGACAGAGACAGACAGGCAGACAAAAAAGGAAGTGAGATATATCGGTTCTATAAAGCTTTGACATCCAGAGGACATCACCTGTTTCTTTAAAGAAAGCGTGAGTGGGATTTCCTTTACTCAGCCTTCATCTAAATCTAGCACAAATGACATTTGGCTTTTTTGCCTTTCATCAGGTAAGACAGGTTATTGATGCATCAATACATGACAACCCTCAATGAATATAAAACCACTATGTAGGAGTAAAAAGCACCCACTGTGTGCAGCAATACCAAACCTTCTTAAATCTGTTAATTATTATTATTTATTTGTATTGTCAGGAAGGTTTTATTTTTATTGTTGTCTCTCTTGAGAGTCTTTTCTTGTTTCTCCAGCTAGCTGAACTTCTTAATGGTCTTGTCTTTTGATGGCCTCAGTGGATGGAGCTTTAAATAACTCTCTGGGGATGGCATAAAGCAAGCTACTGTACTGTACAGACAACGCTTCCCCACCGTCAACGAGTAGAATAGTAAATGATTTGTCCCCTTGTTCCTCTGTTTATATTTTTTTTTGTTATCAGAGACCTGGAAACTGAGCACTCATTTCACTCCAGAGACTGAAAACTGCAGTGTGTGTAAATAAGAACGCTGCATTGCTTTTGCTCTGCTTCCCCCTGGGGCCTAGGATCCCAGCCTACCCATGGAGACTGATCAATTTTAATGTGCCAGAGGTTGACCTTCAATTAACAGTGTTCAAACAAACCTCCCTCCTTGCGCAACAGTGAGCCACAAAAAGAGCAACAGGGGAATCAGCTGGCCCGCTAGCTTATTAGCCTGTTAGCTAACTCGCTGCAGTTTTCCACAATGTAATTGAAGATGATAAGAAGAAATAACAAATTACGGTTGTTTATGGCGCTAACACAGGTGGTTGCTATTGGGAGTGGGTGAATGAAGCCATCACTCAGACGTGACCTGATTCTGTTTGTTGGGTAGGTTCTGCATTCTCTTCCCCAAAGAAGCCAAATGATTAATGATGGGCAGGGTGTGGGGAATGGCATGGCAGACCTCAACTGATGAATTATTAGTGGCTCTGCGACCCACAAAAGGGGTAATTCATTTAAACGTGGGACTGAAACACCTTTTCTCCACACCTACGCCTAAAACCACACACACACAAAAATACATGAAATGTACAGCAGTTTTCATGATTTGAAGTATTTCATTTCAAAATAGGTAAGACCCACCCATTTACCGAAAAGATAATTTGTCAGGATAATCAATGAAAATAATCATGTTGCAGCCCTGTTTACTTAAAATAAAATAGCTTCATATTAAAAGACTGTCTGTTTTCAAAGTGCTGACTATTGAATTTCCAACACCAGTTTTTCTCCCCAAAGTGACATTTTGAATTGTAACCCACTTATGTTAGGTGTGTTTGGAGCTCTTTTGGAAATTGAAGTCAGGACGCTGACACAAGTTTGAACCAAGATTGATATTGATTCATAAACATTATGTTAATAGTAGCACTCCACTTTCTCTTTGGGTTGCTACTAGTCCCAAGACATTTCAAAATATCAGAAGACTTGTGCCTCTGCAGATAACAGTAATCTATCAGACAGCTAAATGACGCTGCTAGCATTTTGCATAACCTTAGCATATCCCTTGGGTTCAATTATAATTCTTTAGGGATGAGGCTGGCGGCTGATTCACAATTCTGCACCACCATGATATGAAAGAGTCATGACTTTACCACCTCAACTAAGCAAAGTACTAGACATGTAAGTACAAGGTCCCATTTGAATACAAAGCACAACATAAATCGTTGTGTCTCTTGCCATGGCTGAAGCTTCCACAGTGTAAAGTGGCTCTTAATATGGCAATTCATCTGCATTCAATGTGAAACATACCGCTTTGAGCAGCTCCAGATATGAGTGTCTGCTGACTGTTTACAAACATAAAGTAGCTATGTTTCTGGTCAGGGCTACACAGTGCTTTAAGTGTCTGACTTCCACTGACTCCGAATGGCACTGCCTCCTACACACCTCTGCATCCTCCCTCCCTCCCTCCTGACCTCCCCTGCCTCCACAGGTACCATTTGGGGAGTTACCATGGAAACCAGGATGGTGATGAAGCGAGAGCAGGAGGAGCAGTCGTCCCAGATGTCTCACAGCATGCGACTGTCCTCCCAGATAAAGAAGAAGACCTTCACTTCCAGGTGCAAACATGTTCTCTGGACATAATTTTTTGGTTCTTTGTTCAGTGAAATATCAGATAATTTTATGTCTTTTGGCCCCAAACTGTTATTTAAAATTAACTATATGAAATGTTTTAAATGGGAAATGTCTCTATGGTGAAAGACGTGCGAAATGTGACATAAGGTCCCAACTACACACTGCTTTTTCGTAAGAGGTCACAAGCCAAAAAGGTTGGAAACTACTGGTTTAATCTTTACAATGTGTTATATTTTATAAGCCATATTAAAATATTAGATTTTAATGTTGAATCTAATTTAAAAGTAACTATAGCTGTCAGATAAATTTGAATGTGTAAAAAGTAGACTATTTCTGTAGTGGGGTAGAACTATAAAAGAGCACAAACTGGAAACACTGGAAAGTAAAGTACTGACTTGTAGTTAGTTACATTCCACAATTGCCTGACATACAGTAGGATGGAGTAGGAAAGTAATATTGTTTCACCATTATCATATTACAACAGAATTGGAAAATGAGATGCAGTTTGTAGATTCCTTTATGCTACAAAAAGCAAATGACTGATAGAACAATTATATGATGATATACAGAAATAAACGAGGATGAATTATTTTTGTTAGAATGCTCGTTATTTTTAAAGGATGAGGCTGGCGATATTCTATGGTTTTCCTATTGTCAACAAATCCAGTGAAAAGACCAAATCCAACCATAAATTGATTCTAAATTGTAAAAATTTAAAATATTGCCTGCATAGCCATATCCTGATATGGCGTATTCCTGTGCGCCGTAGAGATCCATTGTCCAAAAAGTATTAATGAACATATCAGCGAATTTCATCATTAAAATGGGTGATGTTCCTACACTGCAATAAATATGGGCACTTACAGCAAATCTCACATTTACAGTCCTTTTGCAAATACTCACTAGTGCACCAAATACGCAGCTGAAAACAGTCCCCTGTTTGAGTAAAAAAATAAATAAACTCTGTATTCAAGACCTGTTATTTAAGATTTACATATTCAGAAGGAACAAATGGGCTTACGGAGTGTTACACACAGGCTGTGGACGTTGGAAAGTATTGAGAGACAGATTAACAGATCATTGGTTTTGGTGAGATTTGTTAAAAGTAATAAAAACATAGAATATAGTCAGCCTTATCCTTTAAGCAACACTTTAAGAAAACTTTTATAAAGTAATACAAAATAAAGTCTGGGCTTCCAATTAAAACTTTAGAGGATTTACTGTTGATGGATTTATGGTGACCAAGTGCAAAAGCCAATGACACACACAAGCTGAGTTTTGGGGAGGACAAGACATTGGCTCATTATTTTTAACACCTATGTCATACATGTTTTAGTTTGGGAATCCTAACTGCAAGCTATTTAACACAAACACGCTCTCCCTCACCTTTGGGACAACACTGCTTCTGTATTTTCTAGCTACAAGGAAGTTGTATAATCAGTATTATTTAGAAGCAGCTTGAGGTGTTTTACACACTGAAAAACAATGTTCATCTGGACAAGTTATCAAGTCTCATATTCAGCCCTTAACCCGGATTTTAATTAAAACTGGAACATTTTGTCAATGAGTTGAGATAATTCAGTGTTATTCCAGTGCAGTATCTCTTGTTTCAATGTTTCTGAAATTAGTCTCCTGAAATTAGACAAAATGAGAAAATAATCTCTGTACTAATAAAGAAAATGGCAAGGAAGGCAACTAAACTGAAAAAAAGAAAAACTCTTGAAACCTAGTTAAATTATGTGTATATTATCATCTATAAACAGATGTAAGAAAACAGACAAAAACTAGGATGTAAAATTAACATCTTAATTTTATTGCTAAGACTGAAAATGTTTTGCAACAAACCTACATACAGCAGAGAACATTTAAATGTATCACATTAAAATATAATATACATATGAACAAACTACTTATGTGGTGTTTACAGTTTATGCCCAAAATTCACACTTTTATAAATAATAAAGTGAGTAAATCTGATTATGTTGCTTAATGTCTTGACTGATCACAGCTGATTTGTTTTTGGTTTTTTCAGTTGCAGGATGACATTAAGTATTTATTCAAGAGAAACATATGGCAGGCAAATTCTTCTAAGCTCAATGAGACATTGCATTCACTTAAGTATGCTCTATGGGCCACTGGTGATAGCTGCTAGCTATCACATACAGTCAGCGTCTTGTAGTAAGGTACCTCTATTGGGGGATTAAGTCCTGATACTTAACTAGGGCTGGGCGTTATAGCCAAAAATGTCATCACGATAAAAGATGTTAAAATCATTCAATACTGATATTTATCACGATAAATGTCAAATCATGATATCTTTCAAGTTGAAAGACTGTTTTTCTTTGTTGAGTGAAAACAGATTAAAACAGTTAATTGTGGTTTTAAGCTATTCTTTACGGTCGGAACATGACACTTGCCAAACAGTTGATCACTTGAACATTCAAAACAATTATGATAATATATTTTTTCAACAAATATGCATAAGTAAAATTAAGTCAATCTCAACCAACCCCAAACTTACACATGAACACAATGTTTGACTATACTAAACCGCTGTATTCCACGGTTTCCCTGCAATAGCTTAATCTAACATGGGATTACAAGAATTTTCAGTATGTTTCAGGAGTGACTATACACATGCACACTTGACACACTTTAGCCCATTATCACAGATTTGCCTCAAGGGGCTTCACAATCTGCACAGCATACGACTCCCTCTATCCTAAGACCCTCAATTTAGAAAAGGAAAAACTCTCCCAGGACGGACAGACCTGCAATAGATGCAACATGTACAGAATACACCAACATAGTAAAACTACAGTATGGACAATCAGGATAATAAAATTATGGATAGATTGTCCACCATACACTAATGCTGGGCAATAAAATAATGATAATTATCATGATATATTATTATTTATTTACTCAACAACAATAGAACGAATGTTCAATAAAAGTTTGATTTAATTAACTTGAATCGCGAACAAATTAGCACACAATTTGTTGTTGTTGTTAAAAGATTTTATTCATGAATACTTGTTGTAAAAAGATTTTATCATAAGTGTTTTAAATGGCGCCCAGCCCTACCCCCTACACACACACACACACACACAGGTGGAGTTGGCCATTGAATAAATGAAGTCAACTTTGTGTACAGTTGCAGTTCAATTAGTTTGTGGTTAGTAGTGTTATTGTAAAGTGTCATGTACAGTAAATAGGAGGTGTTCCAGTCAACCAGTGGCATGAAAGACAAACATTCAACAGCAGTAAATTGGACTGCAAAAATGCAACAGCCAGAACAGCTCTCCAAATAATAATTTTTATTTATATATATATATGTATATATATATATATATATATATATATATATACATACACAGTGGGTACGGAAAGTATTCAGACCCCTTTAAATTTTTCACTCTTTGTTTCATTGCAGCCATTTTCCAAAAATCAAAAAAGTTCAAAAAAGTACACTCAGCACCCCATCTTGACAGAAAAAAAACAGAATTGTAGAAATTTTTGCAAATTTATTAAAAAAGAAAAACTGAAATATCACATGGTCATAAGTATTCAGACCCTTTGCCGTGACACTCATATTTAACTCAGGTGCTGTCTATTTCTTCTGATCATCCTTGAGATGGTTCTACACCTTCATTTGAGTCCAGCTGTGTTTGATTATAATGATTGGACTTGATTAGGAAAGCCACACACCTGTCTATATAAGACCTTACAGCTCACAGTGCATGTCAGAGCAAATGAGAATCATGAGGTCAAAGGAACTGCCTGAAGAGCTCAGAGACAGAACTGTGGCAAGGCACAGATCTGGCCAAGGTTACAAAAAAATTTCTGCTGCACTTAAGGTTCCTAAGAGCACAGTGGCCTCCATAATCCTCAAATGGAAGACATTTGGGACGACCAGAACCCTTCCTAGAGCTGGCCGTCCGGCCAAACTGAGCTATCGGGGGAGAAGAGCCTTGGTGAGAGAGGTAAAGAAGAACCCAAAGGTCACTGTGGCTGAGCTCCAGAGATGGAGATGGGAGAAAGTTGTAGTAAGTCAACCATCACTGCAGCAATCTACCAGTCGGGGCTTTATGGCAGAGTGGCCCGACGGAAGCCTCTCCTCAGTGCAAGACACATGAAAGCCCGCATAGAGTTTGCTAAAAAACACCTGAAGGACTCCAAGATGGTGATAAATAAGATCCTCTGGTCTGATGAGACCAAGATAGAACTTTTTGGCCTTAATTCTAAGCGGTATGTGTGGAGAAAACCAGGCACTGCTCATCACCTGTCCAATACAGTCTCAACAGTGAAGCATGGTGGTGGCAGCATCATGCTGTGGGGGTGTTTTTCAGCTGCAGGGACAGGACGACTGGTTGCAATCGAGGGAAAGATGAATGCGGCCAAGTACAGGGATATCCTGGACGAAAACCTTTTCCAGAGTGCTCTGGACCTCAGACTGGGCCGAAGGTTTACTTTCCAACAAGACAATGACCCTAAGCACACCGCTAAAATAACGAAGGAGTGGCTTCACAACAACTCCGTGGCTGTTCTTGAATGGCCCAGCCAGAGCCCTGACTTAAACCCAATTGAGCATCTCTGGAGAGACCTGAAAATGGCTGTCCACCAACGTTTACCATCCAACCTGACAGAACTAGAGAGGATCTGCAAGGAGGAATGGCAGAGGATACCCAAATCCAGATGTGAAAAACTTGTTGCATCTTTCCCAAAACGACTCATGGCTGTATTAGATCAAAAGGGTGCTTCTACTAAATACTGAGCAAAGGGTCTGAATACTTATGACCATGTGATATTTCAGTTTTTCTTTTTTAATAAATTTGCAAAAATTTCTACATTTCTGTTTTTTTCTGTCAAGATGGGGTGCTGAATGTACATTACTGAGAAATAAAATGAACTTTTTTGATTTTTGGAAAATGGCTGCAATGAAACAAAGAGTGAAAAATTGAAAGGGGTCTGAATACTTTCC